CACTAGACACCAAAGTGTTTCAGATTTCAGAACTTTAATTTGAAGTATTTGCATACATATAATGAACTGTCTCATGAATGGAACTGTGTAACACAAAATTCACTTATATTTCATGCAGATTTTACATGCATGAAACAGTATAGTACATAAAACAAAGTTTACAGTGTAGAATTTCTGAGTGGTAACATCATGTTAGCACTTTAAAAGTTTGAAATTTTGGAGCATTTCGGATTTCAGACTTTCAGATTTGGGATCTTGGAGCAGTATTCAAAAATTTCATTTTTATGGCTTGACATTCAGTAAGATTACTTTACATGTGCTTTGCATGTACAGTTGTCTCCCCTTATCCATGATTTCGATTCCTGTAATTTTAAGTATCTGTGATCAACTGTAGTCTAAAGTATTTAGACAAAAACTTCAGACATAAATGATTTATAAATTTTAAATTGTGTACCATTATGAATAGCAGAATGAACTCTTATACCACCTGGCTCCATCTTTCTTGACACATGACTCATCCTTTTGTGCAATGTATCCTAATGGTATACACTACCTTCCTATCAGTCATTTAGTGGCCATCTTGCTTATCAGATTATCAGATTGACTCTACTTGTATCACAGTTAGTGTCTCTGTGTACCTAGAACCCTTATTTTACTTATTAATGACCACAAATCCCAGGAGTAGTGATGCCAAGAATTCAGATGTGTCAAAGGAATATACAAAATGCTTTCTGGAAGGGAAATAGTGGAATTTCTTAACCTAATAAGGAAGGAAAAAAATTTATAGGCTGAGGTTCTTAATAGCTATAGTAGAATTTGATGTTTTGCGAGATGAAACATTCCTGTGACTTTATATTGTTGTAAATTTTTGTTGGATAGGCAAGTCCTCCAAAAGAACTAGTAATAGCTGGGTGTCTGAACCCTAAGAGACTCTGTAGACAGAGAGGGAGACAGTCACTCCTCCCACCCAATCGATCAGCTTCAATTATATGAGGGGAAGGGTCTAAGCACAGACATGGAGGAAGCCAAGGAGGCAGGAGAAAGTTCACCATCTTGGCCAATGCTCTGGTGGCCACTGATTTGGAAAGCTTAACCAAGGTAAAGGGAAAAAAGCCCATGAGTACATGCCTTGTAAATGACTCTCTTCTGGATATCATAAACTCTGTATGAAAACCTGAATAGGTTGTGTCAGTTTTGTCGGTTCGTCATAAGGACAGCATGGAGTGGGGGGAATCACAGTGCACCTCACAGAGGGCCTAGGAGCCAGGAGTATATGCAGCACAGGCCTCCCAGAATAGAATCTGGCTTACACTTTTCTATCTTATTTTTGCTGTTGTTAAAATTTCACCCTAACAAATTAATAAATCAACCTGTTTCTTAAGTATTTGCATATGGAAAAGTCTTAGTGTTTACGGTATTTGAGATTACCAAGTACCCCTGGGAATCTTGGAATTCGAAATACCTGTGGATAAGAGAACACCAGATTAGGAGCAAAAGGAATAACAAAACAAATAAAACAACACTGCTTATGTGGTTCCTCATGTCCTGATATTGGAAGCTGTGATTTGAGTGAATGTGAGACTGTCCAGGTACAGGAGCAGGACAAATGATCAGGAGACTAGAGTCTTTCCATGCTCTGAACACAAGGTAATAATGGAATGAGAGAGAAAAACAAGGAATATGAAGAAAATTTGTTCAGTGTATACAGCTTTTGATAACAACATAAGCAGATTATTGATTACATGTTTGGAGTAATAGAAATGCAAATTATTCTGAGGTGGAAAATTAAAATTAAAATTATCTTTCCTGTATATGTCTGTGTTAGTTACTTTTCTGTTGCTGTGATAAAACACTGTGATGAAGGGAACTTGTAAAAGGAAGAGTTTTTGAACTTATTGCTCCAGAGGATTAGAGTTCATAATGGTGGAGAGGGCACGAAGGCAGAGGTGGCCAGATCAGAAAGTCAAGGAATCACATCTTCAAACAGGCACAGGAAACAGAGAGCAACTGGAAATCTGGAAGGACTTCAGAATTCTTAAAGTCTGCCCCCAGTGGCATGGTTCCTCTACCAAGGCTGCGCCTCCTAAAACCTTCCCAAACTGTGTCACCGACATGGAGACAAAATGTCCAAATACTTAGAGCCTATGGGGGACATCCTCTTTCAAATCACCACATTCCACTTCCTGGCCCCTATAGGCTCATGACCATATAAAATGCAAAATCCTCTACTCTACCTTCAAAAGTCCCCATATTGAGTCTTTACCAGTGTCAATACTATTCAAAAAATCAGAACCCAAAGTCTCTTCTGAGATTCAAGGCAAACTCTTAAATGTAAGCCCCTGTAAAATCAAAAGACAATTACATACGTCCAACATAAAATGGAACCAAATATACATTACTACTCCAAAATGAAGGAATAAGGCCTCTGAAGGAAATACTGGACAAAACCAGACCCAAAGCAGCAGGGCAAACACCAAATTCATTAGCTCCATGTTTGACTTCTGAGAATTTACTTCCAAAAGGCTCATCCCTCCAACTTTGCTGTGTGCAACATCCATCTCTTTGACTGTTACCGCTTCCTGTATGTATCTCTCCTTTGAAAATTTCTTAACAACTCTTGCATCTCCAGTGTCTCTGGGTCTCTACTGCCAATCAGGCTTCACCTTCACAATGGCCTGTCAGGGACTTCATTATGCAAGAATGCCCATGCTGCACGCTACCTAGCCTCCAAGACTTCTGAAATCAGGGAGGAAGAATGGATAACCGCCTTCCTCTTGTATCCTTCATGCTTCTAAGGCCAGGTGAACACTGCCAAGTTTGGCTGCCAGTTTGGGATTGATCCTGGCTGGCTTTGTTCTACATTACCAGCAGCTTTTGTGGGTTTCACTTTTCTAGAAGAAAACTCCTTAGGTGTCTTCCTTTTGCAAGGAAGTTTAGCTGGGTAAATCTTGTCCTGAATTTATCCTCTCTTTTATTTAAATACAAACCAAGTGGACCTCATCACCATCACTGGGAGCCTCTCCAGCACATTCCTCAGCTCTAACATTAAGCATCCCAGTGTTCTTTTTCAATTCAAGCTATATATTTTGCATTTCTTATTGCCCCACTTGCTCTTTCTTACTGTAGCTATACATAATATTCACCATTAATAGCCACACCACCATTTCTAAGTTATGTTTCCTTGAGATTTTCTTTCTGAAAAAAAAAATTAGTCCATGGGGCTGGAAAGATGACTCACTAATGAAAAGCAAGGAATGCTATTGCACAGGACCTGGGTTCAGTTCCCAGCACCCACATGGCTAATAATCATGTACAACTCTATTTCCAGGGGTCTGACACCCTGTTCCGACCTCTGTGGGCATTGCACAACATGGGTGCACTTACATACATATAGGCAGTAATCTCATATGCATTAAAAATAGCAATAATTAAGAAAAGAAATTAGTCCATTACTTTTCAACTTAGCCTCAGGCAAGCTCTTAGGCTGTCAGCAGACAGCAGCCAAACTCTTGATATTCCAGTTTTTGCTGAAGTCAGTCATTTCCCTCTGGATCTACATTATTCTCCATACGACTTTCTTCCATGCACCTACTAGAATGGCAATCAACTGACTGTCTAGTTCAAACTTCCAAAGTCTTCCATATTCCTCCAAAACTCCACGTGGTTGTTATGGAGTTCAGGACCACTGAAAAGGACCACTCAAACTCAAAACATTCTGAATCAGCCGAATCTATTTTTCTTGCCAACAGCAGCACACTCTGAGCCAATTTGGGGAATGCCAACTTAACTGTGAGGAGACACAAGCTTTTAAAGGTAAAGTCTTGGTACAAGATTTAAGCTTTTACAATTTTATTAGAATTTTAAAAGAAAAATCCTGAGGGGGACAGGTGAGCTGGTAGTCTTGGCAGCTGCCTTGAGGAGAATGGTGGGGAGAAGGAAAGAAAGCTATAAAGCCACACAGGTTTATAGCCTGAATAGGGGTCAGACACATGGCTGACTGTCAGGCACATGGCTGAGAGAAGGAAGCTTTAGAGAAAAAGTAAGAAATACAAGATGCTAAGGCAGCCAAAGCCATAAAGAAAGCATGTTTAGAAAAGGGATTTGGAGAAGAAAAGGAAAGATTATGCTTTTCTGAAGAATTCAGAAAACCAGGAAGACTTATAGACTACATGACTGTGGCTGGTCTAGAAATTCTGTGCTAGGAGGCAGGATTCCAGGCAGGAAAAATTCACTATCTCATTAATGCACTAGGTATTCTGCCCACCTATTTAGCATAACATAAGGTGAACCTGTCATTCTAGGTAGGGGTGGTCCTATGAAAAGATGTTTGACCAGTGAAACTGGAAAGGTGAGTCAACAGACTAGAGATTTATAGTCTTGACCAGTTATACTTACACAAAATGGAGGAGCTTGGGCTATTACATGGTCAGCTTCTTCGCAACAACACTCCACTTTCCTGGTACCAACTCCTGTTTTGGCTATTTTTCTCTTGCTGTGATAAAACTCTATGACCAAAGGAACTTACACAATGAAGAGTCTATTTGAGGTTACAGTTCAGAGGGCTGGAGTCCATAATGCCGGGGAAGGCGTTGTGGCTAGAGCATAAAGAAGTCAAGGAATCACATCTCTAAGCATGTACAGGAAACAGAAAGCAACTGGAAATCTATCAAGGCTTAAGAACTCGTAAAGCCTGCTCCAAGCGTTGTGCTTCCTCTAGCAAGGCTGCACATCCCAAACCTTCCAAAATAGCACCACCAACAGGGGACAAATTTTCCAAGTACTTGGTGCCTGTGGGGGGCATTCTCATTCAAACTGCAACAATATCTGTTTGATAAACTTATAAATTTTCCTTGAAAAGACAAGGTAATTGTATTTGGAACAAATCATGTAATAAGAAGGGGCCTTGGTGATCTCTTAAAAGTGGGTCTCCAAGTGCTTTGTCCTGGTCCACAATACTTTAATACAGTAGATTATTAAAAATAATGTGGTAGTCAGTCGTACTTGCTCCAGTGTCTTCAGTACCCGCGGGCGTCATCGACGTCGCACGGATTCCTCTAGGCTGATCTGCACATCTCGCGCACCGCACTCCCTGTCGCCATAAGCCGCCATCATGGTGAAGCTTGCAAAGGCTGGTAAAAATCAAAGTGAGTCCAAGAAAATGGCTCCTCCCCCAAAGGAGGTGGAAGAAGACAGTGAAGATGAAGAAATGTCAGAAGATGAAGAGGAGGACAGCAGTGGAGAGGAGGTTGTCATCCCTCAGAAAAAAGGCAAGAAGGCTACAACTCCAGGAAAGAAAGTGGTGGTTTCACAAACAAAAAAGGTTGCAGTTGCCACACCTGCTAAGAAGGCAGCTGTCACCCCAAGCAAAAAGGCAGGAGCCACACCAGCAAAGAAGACAGTTACACCAGCCAAAGCAGTTGCAACACCTGGTAAGAAGGGAGCTACACAAGCAAAAGCATTGGTAACACCCCTTAATAAGAAGGGAGCTATCACCCCAGCCAAGGGAGCAAAGAATGGTAAGAATGCCAAGAAAGAAGGCAGTGATGAGGAGGATGAAGAGGAAGAGGAAGATGATAGTGATGAGGAGGAAGATGAAGAGGACGAGGAGCAGGAGGAGGAATTTGAGCCTGCAGTTCTGAAAAAAGTAAAAGCAGTGAAACCAGCAAAAGGGGCAAAAGCAACAGCACCTGCTCCTGCCTCAGAAGATGAGGAGGAAGATGATGATGAGGAGGAGGAGGAGGAAGATGATTCTGAAGAAGAAGATGATTCTGAAGAAGAAGCTGTGGAGATCACGCCAGCCAAAGGAAAGAAAGCTCCTGCCAAAGTTGTTCCTGTGAAAGCCAAGGGTATGACTGAGGAGGAGGAAGACGATGATGAAGATGAAGATGATGAAGATGAAGATGATGATGAAGAGGAGGAAGAAGAGGATGAAGAAGAGGAGGAGGAAGAAGAGCCTGTTAAAGAAGCACCTGGAAAACGGATAAAAGAAATGACTAAACAGAAAGAAGCTCCTGAGGCCAAGAAGCAGAAAATTGAAGGCTCAGAACCAACTACACCTTGCAATCTGTTCATTGGAAACTTGAATCCTAGCAAATCAGTTGCTGAATTAAAAGTTGCTATCAGTGAACTTTTTGCTAAAAATGATCTTGCTGTTGTGGATGTCAGAACTGGTACAAATAGGAAATTTGGTTATGTTGATTTTGAGTCTGCTGAAGCCTTAGAAAAGGCTTTGGAACTCACTGGCTTAAAAGTGTTTGATAATGAAATTAAACTAGAAAAACCAAAAGGAAGAGACAGTAAGAAAGTTCAGGCTGCAAGAACACTTTTGGCCAAAAACCTGTCTTTCAACGTCACTGAGGATGAATTAAAAGAAGTGTTTGAAGATGCCATGGAGGTTAGATTGGTTAGCCAGGATGGGAAGAGGAAAGGGATTGCTTATTGAATTTAAGACAGAAGCAGATGCAAGAAAACCTTTGAAGAAAAGCAGGGGGCAGAAATTGATGGGCGATCTGTTTCACTACACTACACTGGAAAGAAAGGTCAAAGGCAAGAGAGAGTGGGAAAGAATAGCACTTGCTGAAGATCCTGAAGAGCTTGGCAAACCAAGTCTGCTATCCAGGCCGACTTCACCCAGTGGAAATTCTCAATGCAGTGTTTAATGCTTTCAAGAATCCTTGCCATAAATGTGGAAATAGTAGTTGGGGGAGGCCAACAGCTTCTGTTTAGCATTGGTGGTATCTGGTTCTTGTGTGTACTTCTTGCTTCTCACCGTGTGTGAACCTGCAAAGGCCAGCAGAGGGCATGGGTCCCTTGGAACTGGAGTTACGGGTGGTTGGCTGCCATGTGGGTGTTGGGAATTGAACCCCTGTCTTCTGAAAGAATAGCAAGGGCTCTTACCAAGTCCTCTCCAGCCCCTGATTCTCAGTTTTTATAATAAAAAAGCCATATGACAAAAAAAATACAAATATTAAAATAAATAAAAAAATAATGTGCTATGTCACATACTAACTTTTCTCAGAGCAATGGCATATTTGGTTTTGTCAAGCATGCCTGTAATTCTTGACATCAGAGACCAACAGTGATTTGCTGCTTCTTGGTTCATGGCAACACAAATGGGATCTCCTTTCACAATTTGAACATTTATTTTTGCGAACAATGAAGTCCTTGAGTTGTTCAAAGGTGATTCTTTTCAAGATCAAGTAGCAGAAATCTCATCAACTTTGATCTCAAGTTCATGAAATTAAAGATTCATATAAACATACGTTAGGATTTTCTTTTTCTTAAAAGGGATTAGTCTTTTCAAAATGACTAAATCAGGGCCAGATGGATGGCTCAGCCAAAAAAGGTACATGCTGTCAAACCTGATCCCACAAGGTGGAAGGAGAGAATGACTCCTGAAAATTGATTCTAACTTCCACATTTGTACAGTGGCAAAATACCCACATGTATAAATTATACAAACACAAATCAAAAATGTAATAAATTTAAAAGGTGACTAAGCCATACACACATACACACACACACACACACACATCCCATTTCACTGAAATTCTACCATGTGAGCCATCTGAGTCTCATAATCATTGTATATTTCAATATTTTTTTTTGTAAAAAACTTATTGGCTTAAAATTAGTTCAGTTGTATTTCTCTCATAATGCAATGATTTTCATCCTTCCTTCCTTCCTCTGCTCCTACTTTCTGGTTTTAGATAAAATAAAATTCAAAGAAAACTTGATTAAAGTCACATTTATTTTTAAAAACTAAACTTGGGCTGTGTAGCTTTGAATTTAGTTCCATACTGTTTTAATCAGCATGTACAAAAGGAATATCTCCTAGAAAAGTATGTGATGTGTGCACCAGAAAATTGAGTTTCATGGTCATCCATTGTTGTCTCTATCTTATAGCCAAACCCAGGGATAGGTTTGTTGATACATTTTGGGTAATGAAAGATATGAAAGATGTGAAGAGGCTATTGTGAATAGCTTTGGATTTCACTTTTTGGAAACATAGTTTCCATGTGTAATCTGCCATTAAGAACAAAGAAAACACCATCAAGAAGTGTTATAATAAAAAAAAGATGACAGATTTATCCTTAACGTTTGTTAATCAGTCAAGCTGCTTTGGAAACTTTTTGTGCTTTCTTTTTTAACTTTAAAAATTTTTTTATTTATTTCTTTGTTATGTGTATGAGTGTATTGCCTGCATGTAGGTAAGTGCACCTGTGTCATGCAATGCCCATGGAGGTCAGAAGAGGCTGTCAGATACCCTGGGACTGGAGTTGTGGACAGTTGTTAGCTGCCATGTGGTTGGGGTTATTTATAGGAATATAGGTGATAGGTTGCTTACAAGACCAAAAGTGATTAAAAAGCAGTTGTATCACTAAAGCCCATGGGTGACAGCTCATTAAAGGCAGATGATGCCAGGAGCACACTGCACAACTTTCAGGCACCTCAACTGGTCTGAGCCTCTTCCAGGGAACTCAGCTTATCACTGCTTCTTTTGGGGAGCTTTTCTGATCTGCCAGTTTCAGATAGCTCCACAGATCTAAAAGTGTCTCTCACAGTCCTTACTGCTTATATAACTTTGGGGAGAGAGGGCTGTGCACTTGTCAGTGTACAGGATTTCCTGAGATTTTTGATTTGTTTACTTCCTGAGTTTTGAACAACTGTCTTGCAGGATGAAATGTTTCCCCTCACTTTAGAACACCAAGATGGAATGCTTTATCTCAGGAGTTTACAAAAATGTCATAAATAGAAAGCCAAACAAGACACAAGAGAATAAACAAAACAAAACAAAAACAACCCTATGAAGATGGGTGGTTTTAATTGTCAACTTGATGGGACAGAATCACCTGAGAAGAGAGTCATAACAAGGAATTTTCTAGATCAAATTGGCTGGTTGGCATGTCTTTGGTCTTGAGCATTTAAATTGATGTGGAAATACCTAACCTAAAATTGGGTGGTACCATTTCCTGCTTTTTAAATTTGGACTGTAAAAGAGGCAGGTGGATCTCTGTGAGTTCGAGACCAGCCTGGTCTACAAAGTGAGTTCTAGCCCAGCTCAGGCTACAAGAAGACCCTGTCTCAAGAAGACCCCCCGGCCCCCCAAAAATAGTAGAGAAAGTTGTGTGAGCATTAAGCATGTATGCATTAATTTTCTGTCTGCTACTCCCGTTCTCCCTCAAGTTGTTTGTTGTCAGGGTGTTTTTATCACAGCAACAGAAATTAAATCATAACACCTACTGATTTAGCATTCTAAACATTGAGTGGCAGCTGAGGAAAGGTGGAAGAGAGAAGTTAATGGATAATGGAAGTCTTCAGCTGCTCTTAGATGCCACTGAGATGTAAGCAAAGAGAAATAAAGAGTGCAGTGAGGGTGTGCAGACTGGAAAGCCTTTACTCAGAATCAGTCAAGCCTTCTCTTCCTAGCCTTCCCCAGATTGCATACTTTATCCCTCCTCAAATCCAGGAAACAATGTGTGATTAGGGCCAAATTACATACAGTTGGCTGGGAAGAGTGGCTGGATACTCCAGTGAGGGTCCAATGACTGACCCACTTGCCCCTCCTTTAATGAAGGAGTACAACCATCAACAAGCCCAATTATGATGATATTTAGTATCGCAGTGTGCATACCCTCAGGTCATTCATATACGTCAGCAACCCCACAGTTATCTCGGTAACTAAACTCAGTAAACTTATTGGTTCCCCAGTAAAACTTTAATCAAGCATTGGTTTGACACTAGAACCTTAAAAGCATTAAATAAGCATTTCTTAGTATTCCCAGGAAAAGAATTCTCACAACAGATGGAAAATATATTTGTTAGTGTTATTAACATTAGTAAATTAGTAAAAAAAAAAAATTAGCAAAAAAAAAAAAAAAAAAAAAGAAAATGAGAATGGAAAAGATGTTAAAAGGATATAGGAATAGAGATATTTTCAAAAGTAGAAAAAATGAGAAAGCCTAAGCAAGTGATGAACGTCTGTGTAGGTTTAAATGAGAGAAGAATAATATACACATAATCTTAAATTTTCTAAGGTCATAGTTTAGTCAACTAGTTTAAGGAACAAAATATATATCTAGTCAATGTTTATCTGAGAACATTTGGTTTTTTTATCCAAGCTTTATCTACATAGCACATGGTAATTAAAAATACCAGACTGGTAGAACTAGCATTATTGAAAGTTTAATAGCTGTACTCTGAGGCCTATACTAATCTGGTCGGAGGGACTTGAAGGACAGTTTTTGTCCCTTGCCTTCCAAGGTCAACTAAGTTCCAGGGGACTATAGAACATCTCTCAAAATGTCCTGTAACTGTGGTGAGTCACCTGTCCTCTTGTTCAGGGTGGACATGGAGACCCACCAGATAGACTTGAACCAGAGTTCAGTCTTCAAAGAGGAGGGTAAACTCAGAGAAAACATTTCCTCCATGTTTCCAAGTGAAGTCAGTCATGGTTGAGTAGGATCTTTGACTTATCTTAACATAGATGGAACTTGTAAAAGAAAGGACCCAGGGGCTCCTCCCAAGCCCATGTGACCCCTGAGGAACAGATCCTCAAAGGACCTTAAGTGTAAAAATAAACTGGTTTACCTGGGTCAACTGTATGGTCTTAAACACCCTAAAGGGAAGTATAACCAAAGAGTAAAGTGATCAGTATTTTTCTTTAAGACTTCAAATGATTACAGTTCCCAGATTATAGGTTTAAGTCCATATAAAAAGTTTTCAGACAATTGTTTCTCATTGATAATTTTGTTCCTAATCAGAAAGTGCTGCCCAGATGTAAGACTTCAACTCTTGGTCTGAACCACCACTGTAGTGCCCACCTGTAGCTAACAACCTGCTATTGCTCTAAAATAATGAATACGTTTTTTTTTCTCCCCTTATCTAGAAGTCTTTGAGAGGGAACTGACACTGAATCTAACCACTCCAAGAGCTATCAAAATGTCTGAAAGCAGATGCTGAATGCATCGCTCTTGAGTCCAGCCTTGGCAGACAAAAGAAAAATGAGGAGGAACCCAATAAAGGGATGCTTTTGGAAGCTCTCCTCAAGAAATTCTAATGGATTCTCATATGAACATTTGAAACTTGCCTTGTTCTGACTCTTTTCTAGTTTCCTGTCTGGAATTTGTAATGCTAATTACTCTTGCCTTTACTTCTGTTAGATAAAGGCCAAACAGAGAATAGCCACAGGAAACAAAGGACTCCAGTAAAACAGTTTATTTCTTAGGATTGCTGGTGGCTGGCAGCTCAGCTGGGGAGAGAAAGGCAACTAGCACCCTGCTGACTGCTGAGGAAGTTCTTATAGGGGGTTGGGGAATGTGGAAGGTGACAAAAATAATCTTTACAATTTCAAGGGAAGCAGCTTGAACAGAGCTCTTACATCAGTGGGTCTGGGTGCAGGGACCTGTTTATCTTCCACAATTATCTGGGGAACAGCTTTGTGCTAACACAGCTCTAAATGTAGCTGTCTGGCCAGTTCCTGTTTTGCAAGGGGGCCCTCATGGCCTGTCTTATGAGGCTTTTTATACTGGGAGAGGGTCGTCTGCAGACCTGGACTCTAATAATTTCTCCTGCACTTTC